GTCCCTTGCCCTGAACCACAGCCCACATCCACCGCAAGGCTGAGTTGTTTTGGTGACTAAAAGGAATGGAGTTTCACCATGTAGTAATTATAGATATGTTTACAGATGGATTTGATGACTCAGTGCACACTAATGGGAAAGCAATGGTTCTGCAGCTCCGCTACTTATTTGTAATGTGTTTAAACATGCAGTTACAAAGCTTTTGAAATGCATGTCAAGAATGCAACAGCAGAATGTGCTTGCAATGATGTGATTCAAAGTTGTAACATACAGAGCTTGATTAAGTGACAGTTTTTTCCTTCAGCATGAAAATGTAAATACAGGTAAAGAAATAGTACTTTTAACTGACTCAAGTAGTTCAAATCTCCTCAAATGTCAATAACGACCAAATTGGTATTTTGACTGCAACCATCATGTTCAACTTACAAAATCATTTTTAAGCAATTCAGTGATTTTTTCAGAAGAGGTGACCATCTTTATTTATGTCTTATGAGTAGGTTAAAAATAACGTTAAACATTCATATGTTTGGGCGATAAATATATGTTAAGTCTTTTGCTCTCTAAAAAATGTCTGTGCTCTCTCTCTCTCTCTTGATGTAATATCTACTTAAAGTCTACTTAAGTTATGATAATACACAAAAAAGCTACTCAACTACAGTCCCAAGACCACTTCTTTAGCTTCCTTAGTGTACAGAATAGCACAGGCTGAGGTTCAGCGTTTATAAGGCATAGTTAATGCTGACACATTTTTTTTTATTATTAATGACATTAAAGCTACATGTGATAAAATATTCAGTATTTAACCTAACCTTAATAAGGGGCAGTATAGGCTACATACAACAGTACTGTAACACATAAGCATGAATGCAGCTGGTTAAAATGCTGAAAACCTGAAAATACACACTTACCTTTTTCTCCATGTAGTTCATAATCCTGCTGATTAATTCTTGGGGGGCTACTCTGTACTGCAGGTAAGCAGATGCATGATCTTTCTCCTCAAAGAGACGTACAGCCATGTTTCTGTGTCAGAATGCTCACGCCTGTCAAAGCGCCTAACTGACTGAATACTTTAACACACCGAGTGAGCTGGACCTTATTTAACCTCCAAGTTACACATTAACTGCCAGGACTAAAATTGTCCTGCCCTATTGCACTGCTGCTGTAAAAAAACATGCCTACATACAATTAAAGGCATCAGTGGATTTCATATTGCATTGCTTTAATATGACAAAAGTGCTGCATTTTCAGTTTATGATACATTAAATAGTAATTTATGTGTATGGTTTAGGTATGTTGAGCTTATTTCTGAGTTTTTTAAATACAAAATACTACATGCAAAGCTGAAGCAGCAAGTCTTAACTTTCTGTCTATGGTGTGAGGAGAAAACTGCTTTAGCATGCCAATAACTAAATGGTATGCAATGAGACCAGTTGTAACTGAAAAGAAGTCTGGGAGATCATATATAGAGCTGTGACTCACATGTAAATAGTTACTTAAGATAAAAATAAAATATTAAGAAATAGCTCAACAAAAATGTTGCAGTTATGAGTAGCCACTGACAAATTACATGTTTCTTTCAAATATTACCAAAAGAAATGCTGTATGATGAGCTTTTGTAGCCACTACCACAGTAAAATGTATGCAGGTTTGGTATAAAAATAGAATTATTTATGCAGCCATTTGTAGTGGATAACATCACCAATATGAGAGTGTCAAAGTCTGGCAGGGGAAAGTGACAAAGTCGTTGAGATTCAGGTTATTTAGAGGCCTTGAATGTTAATTACCATCTGTTCACATGGCCTTAAACAATCTGTGAACACATAAATAAGAGTAGACAGGAGAACACTCAGGGCCAGTGACTCGGATAAATTATTGGTATACATTTGGGGGAGAAGTGAAGAAAGAGAGGGAAGGAGAGCAGAAAATGTGGTGGAGTCAAATCACTTCATACTGGGAAAAAAAAGGAGGAAGACTGGCTCTGTGAGCTTGGTTCTTTAGTGGTGGTGAGAGGAGGATGCCGCGCAAACTGAGGAGCATCACAGACAATGATTGTCACCCGCTCCACAATGTGCTGGTCACCCACAGGAGAACTCTCAGAAACCGCCACAGCTATCTGAGATTTTAAAAAAAATCACAAAAAGAAAAATTATACAAAGAACAAAGAGACACGGGATCAGACAGACTAAACACTCTAGGGATAGGGGACAGGTGGACTAATCAGAGCAGGCGTCCAAATCAAGGCAGGGACTATCACAATGTCAAGAACACACAAGATCCAGAAGACGCTCAAGAGATTACATATATCATCTGGCTTGGGAACAGCAGTAAATGAACAAAAACCTCAAATGACTCTCCTCCCTTCAGACCACACA